AAAAAAAAAAAAAATCATTTGAAAAAAAAATATGTTTCCCCACTAAAAAAAGAACATGTTTGAGCAAACGTAGTCGCAAGCAAGATAACATATTAGTCTTTTCACGAAACCCCCGAACATGTTCGGCGTGCTGCACTACTTATAGGGCTATAAACACAATCTTTTGAGATAATAAAAAAAGTACATATTTCAATTCCTTACTAAACTGTGATTCAATTGGTAGTGATTTTCTGTGGAAAATCGTGTGCTTTTCGCCGCCACTTCTAGTGGTAGTCAAAAAGTACCTTTTTATTGTGGTTGTTTTACTTCATGTGAAATCGTGCTCCTGCACGAGGTCTAAATATTGTACTTGTATAATCCTTAATAAATTTCGTTCAAACCCAATTTTTTTTTTTTTTTGGGTTTTCACGAATCCTATGTTATACATCCAAAAGGTCTAGCATTTTAAGAACACCGGACCCTTAGGAGCAACAGATGCAGACAAGTTTTCAGCCAAAAAACTTCCTTTCAATTTCGTTTAAAAAAAAATAAAAAATGTTATTCGCTAGGCTACCAGCCGGGCCGCCCGGGTCCCGAGTAACCAGCCGGTGCAAGGAGGTCCCAGCAAAAAAAAAAATAAAAAAAATCCAAAAAATCCGAAAACAAACTATGTTATGCAAAAAAATAAACTGAGCAACTTTTGCCTCAGGGTCACATCGAAATTCTTCACCCAAATTAAAATAAAAAATAAAAATTAAAAATAATTTTTTTATTTTTATTTTTTTGGCCCGACCAGGCAAGTGACCCCGGGCCACTCTGGTAGCCTAGGTTATTCGTTAAAATATGACATTATATTTTAAATTGGTACTCGGTTGCTATTGATTTATGGTTGAAATCACTATATTTTAAATTTTAATGAATCTTAGGATACGAGTAGTGAACCCGAAGAACGCAATTAACAGGTCGTACTTTGAAACTGAAATGAAGATTCACGACAATCACACACTGAACGATAAGGTTCAACTCTGGATTTCATGGCACTTCGATCAATTTTGTATGACCATTGAGTCAGACGTATTTTACATGACATTGTGTCAGGCGTAAATTGGAACTCAATTTAAGAGTCAACGCAATCACACAGTGAACGAGATGGTTTAAATATGAATTTCGTTTGACTTTGATAAATATTGTAACCTAACGGACGTAACTAACATATTATTGTCATTGAAACTGAAGTTAACAATCCGCTCAATGAGACGCTAAACGAGAAGGTTAAACTTTGGATTTCATTGCAGTTCGATCATTTTTTGTATGAGCATTGAGTTGGATATATTTACATGACATTGTGGCAGG